AGGTGCTAATACTTGATAATTCGTGAGTATTATAATGGTAATAAATACTAACTCTAAAATTATGAGTACTTAAAAAATTCTGTTGAAGTGACTATTCTTCATTTAGACTGATTATTGAAAAAAAAGAATAAGAACAGTGTTCTAATAAGAGCACATACTTCTTTAAGCCTACAGCCTCATACAACTCACATATGCACACATGCAAAAAGAAAAAAGTAAATTCAGTTGAAATTGACAGTTGAACGAAATTTTTTGTTTAATTTTAATAAAAAAAGTATTTTAATCAAAAATTATTGCAACAGCGCTCAATTTCTTTTAGTATTTTTCAACGCAAATTAATTGTATGGATTGATTTAAACTCATAAAAGTAATTCATGTTTATGTATGTTGAATGACAGGTGGAGTATAGCACTGACACGTCATTCCTGTCATATGCGAGTCCTCAATAGTCTTCATTGCATTTAGTCTATCAAATATTTATAATACTGTCACCCAGATAACAGAATAAGGAATGTCTAAGATTTAATTGACTGAAATTTATCTACAAGGGTAGGTAAAATAAGCCAGAAAGTATAGGAAAGCTGTTCCGTCCCACTCTGTCTGGGGCTCCACAACAACACTTACTCCACCAGGGAAGAAATCTAGGACCTTCAGATAGTAAGGCAAGCCCATCGACCTTTCAGCTAATGGGATAGAATCGAACGTCTCACTAATTCTTACTTCTATCAACTGGTTATATTGTTGGTGCCACTGTCAGTAACTTTCATTAGTTGGGCTGTTTTCGTCACCACTCTGACTCTGTAGACTTTAACGGTAGGGTTTTGGGATGAACGTAAAAAAACCTCCTGTAAGTTTGTTAAGATCAAGAAATCATAAGCAAATAGTATCATTTTATGGCGTAATGATGAACTCTGGCGCCATTATTTGAACTATTTGTTCGCAGATATCATTTTAAAAAGTACAGTACCTATGTGAAATTACACTATGAATAAAAAAATGATGGATATTCACATTGCACTTATGCGATTATTAAACTTGATAGTAGTTGCATATATAAAGGGATTCAGTTAGTTAACACTGAACATGGGATGTACATTGAGGCTACTATTGAATGACATTATGCACCATTCAGGTCATCGAGTTGAACTCGGACAGGAAGCAATAAGCTTGATGTTCGAGCGAGTTATAGACGGGAGCGTATTAAAAAGAAACGAAACCCTGTCAGAAGGTCGTGTAACCAGCTTTAAGTCATGCCGGAGGAACAAATGCAGTAAAAATGTTCCCTGAGGAGGTAGGTTCCCCTCAGAAAGCAAGCAATCGATAACAATAGTATCTAATAGAATTTCAATAGAGTGACATTACGCAACAATAATTTGCTTGCCAATTTCACATTCCCACATAACAAATTAAATTGCTTTATTTTTTTAAAAGAAACTTTGCGAACGAACCAGTCAAGAACCTCTTACTCAACAGATATCTGGAAGAAAATGGACATGGATTGGAGACACGCTGAGAAGATCTTCAAATGACATCGTGTTTTAGGCCGTCATCACTCGATTGGAACCTGAATGAAAAACGACGAGTTGGGCTTCATTTTGTGGGTGATTATGAAGTGATCATGAGAGGAGGAGATGAGAGACTATGAGCAGTCGTACAGCCATCTAGAAAAAGCCCTGTAGTGGATGGGACTTCGTGGAAATGTGCTGTTTAAACCCTATATTCCACTTGGAACTCAAAAATGATAATTTTTTTCAAGTGAAAATCTGTAACTATTTGTTATTTTCAACAACAGTTTTTTCCCAAAAGCTGTTTTCCAGCATTTTGCACTTATCATCGAATCTCACGTTTCAGTTACTTTACTAATCAATTTATTGTGTAGCATGGCTTGCAGTCCGGTTTATCGTAAACCAATATCCTGGCACTGTTTCTGACTAACGCGTACACAGATACCTACATGAATTATTCATCATATCTCTGGAGCGATTCTCTGAGATCTGTTGACAACAGAGGATTTAAATTAATTTTTGATGTAATCCTCTTAAAACATATACTCATCTAAATGTGTGGTAATCAAACTAGTGGTATAAGTCGAATGATGACACACATACTACCGGATCAACTTTGATCGTCATCTGACTGGATCATGATCATTCAACTAGAATAGGGAGTTGCCTAGTATTACCTTGACATAAAAATATTATTCGCTGATTGGTTGAATTATAGAATGTATTATAAATAATAATGGGATATGGTGTATACAACAGAATATTCACCATCCATTTGAATAGTTCTCTTCGTTTTTTGCATTCCCAGCAGAACACAGGGTTTCGAGATTTTAAAGTGATGCAGTACCGATGGGGATGTTTTTGTATGGTGACTATCGGCCGGTGACTCTACGCTCAAACTTCCTGCTTCTCTTTCAGGTTTACTAGAGGCCAGTTTAACTAAACTAGGGTTTAGGAGTGGATCGTTCTGTAGAGAATTGGACCCTTATCGAGGGGAATATAGGAATTCACAGTTGGGCTTTCAAGTTTCAGTAGTAGGGATGTATTTATTTGTATGAGGTCTGGCTGCTAGCCTCTCATTCAAGCTTCTTTTTTTCCTGACTTATTACTGGATCAACGAGGTCACTCAGGGATACAAGTCCGGATCTAAATTCATAAAACCAGCAAAGGAAAAGAACATTACGGAACAAACTGAACAAAAACTAACGAACCTTCTCCGAAAACTAAAGAGTGAATCATTCATCGATCTCGAAACCTTCGAATCGTTGAAACCGTCGGGCTCAAATATACCCCTGCTATATGAACTACCAAAAGTGCACAAGAAAAACGTACCTCTTCGACCCATTCTCGATATGACTAATTCACCTTATCACAGTGCCGCACAATGGCTAGTGAACATACTAGAACCAGTCAGAAAGCAAATCTCCCGCCACTCACTTCGAGACTCCTTCGATTTTGTCAATTCCATTGAAAACGTCAGCGTTTCCAATCAAACCATGTTCTCACTAGATGTGGTATCACTGTTTACAAACGTCCCACTAACCGAAACAATATGCTATATATGTGAATATATTGATTCAAAGGAGATGAACATTGGTATACCCACTGACTATTTGAAGGAACTCCTATGAAGGTGTACTCTAAACGTCCAATTCACTTTCAATAATGAAATATATAGACAAAAAGATGGTATAGCTATGGGCTCACCACTCGGCCCACTGCTTGCAGATATTTTCATGTCGAAACTAGAAAATACACACCTAAAGAAGATAATAGATAACTTCGGATTCTACAAGAGATACGTGGGCGATACTTTTATTATCGCCAATAATGAGGAAAATTTGGAGAACATATTGGACTTCTTCAACAGTTGCCATCCAGCAATCCAGTTCACACTAGAGAAGGAGTCCAACGCAACAATATCTTTTCTGGACGTGCAACTAGCAAGACGCGAACAAGATGGGACACTCAAAAGATCCATTCACAGAAAACCGACATGGAATGGACAACTCATCAGCTTTCACAGTTGGGTGCCTATATATACAAAACGAAATCTGATCCGCTCACTGACTCACAGAATCCACAACATTTGCAGTCCGGAAACTATAGAAGAAGAGCTGAAGACCCTGAAAAGAATCCTCCTTGAAAACGATTACCCGGAACGTTTCATCACAAAAGCTATGAAGCCCAAAACACCAAAACCATCCATGCTTACTGCTCCCAAGAAACTTCTCTATTTGAATCTACAATTCAACGGAGATTCTTCAGCAGAAATACTGAGAAACCGCCTGTGCCGTTCACTGAAGAAAACCTTCTTCGCAGCGGAACTCAGACTAACTTTCTCTACGAAACCAATGATTCGCACGAACGTGAAGGATAAGCTTCCGCTGGCGGCCTCATCAATGTGCATCTACCAATTCGCCTGCTCATGTGGAGCTAGGTATGTCGGCCGTACCCAGTGTTTGCTATCCAAACGAATCAGCGAACACTTACCTTCATGGTTTTATAAAGGAGAAAGAGATCCCTCCGCCACAGCTCTATCCTAGAACACTTGATCGAATCCGGACACCAAGCAAACCCACAAAACAACTTCTCAGTTATCTACACAATACGTGGGAATCTTGCCAAAAGAGTACGAATTAAACTTCTTCAAACTGCAGAAGCAATGGCAATTCACATATTGAATCCTGAACTCTGCATACAAAAGAAGTTTGTTCAGTCACTAAATCTACAATGGTCCTGATCTATCTTAACACCAAATACGTAATTTTGTCTTACCTCTTTCTTCTTTGTTTGTCTATTTCTTAATTGCATTATTTTCTACCCCCACCCTCTATTAAATCTCTACGCTCATGACGACTGTTGCTAACTCGATTTTCGTTTATTTTTAAGTGAATTCTACTCAGATTATTAACTTGACTCTCATTCATTTTTTCATTGAACCCTATCAATTAGATTACGTCACCCAACCTACTTTTGTAACTTTATTTTAGTTTCTAACCGATTAACGCCTTCTAAATTACGTAATTTGTTTGTCAAAAATTAACAATTGCATTAACACATCTTTGGAAATATTCCTTTTGTTGCCAAGACAAATTACTATAAATTTGCGATTTGTACAGCTTGAGAATGATATCGCCGAAAAGAGTAACTCTTTGCTGAACACCTTTTCTTTTCTATGACTGAATGGGAATTTTCAAATTAAATGGTTGGCGATCACTCTACCGCTCAACCACCGGTGTAAAAATAAAAACATAAATAAAGAATTTTAATTTTCAAGAAGTGGTTTTTACTAGTTTGACCACGGATTGATATCACTTAGAGAACCATTGAAAACCAGCACAGGAGTATTGGAATCAATGGCAGTACTCACCCACTGGGGTTCGAACACAGGACCCGCCGGTTAACTGATATCAATCCGTGGTCAAAAAACTCATAAACAATGTTAGTTTTACGAGAAAAAACAACAACATAAATCTAAGAAAAATGACTTACTCTTCAGATTTTGGATGGGATATAAGCTCTTTTGACTGGATTTCATCTTCATTCTGTGGTTCAGCTGATATACCGATACCACGTTTTCTTGTTTGTACAGTTAATTCATTTTGACTAATTGAAACATTTCCACCGAAACCAAATAATTCATTGTTATCCATCTGTTGTTGTTGTTGCTGTTGTTGCTGCTGTTGATTTTTAATAACAGCTGTCGGTGTTGACAATGAACTCGATAAACTGAATACACTTTGATATTTATCCAGTAAACTTGTCAATTCTGTGATACGTTTATTTTTCATTGATAACTGTTCTTGTAATTCAGCAATCAATTGTTGATGTTGTGCAATTTCTTTATTACACTTTGCATGCATTCTTGAACAATCACAACAGTTAAATATCTAATTTATGACAATTCGTCAAACAATACATATTCGATGATTTTATAGCGTTTTTATTTGTTTATATATATTTATATTCATTTTATTATCATCATTATTATTATTGTTTTTCGATTTGATTCGGATTGGTTTACACACGTATCATTTTGTTCATTGAATGTCATTCACATAATAAAAAGGGATTGATTGTTTATCCCACGAGGAAAGGGGAGAGCGTAGGTGGCGTAGTTGGTAGGATGGATAATATAAAGATAAAGAAAAGAAATTAAAACACCAAATAAATAACAATATGAACAACACCAACAAGAACAACATCAATTCACAACAATATACCACCAGTCGGGAAAATGTAATGAAAGCCGAAAACAACAACAACTACAACAACAACAAAATGGACAAAAAAACAACTTACGTTCAAAAAAGAACTCTTCAATATTGCAAATTTATTCGACTGAATTTTGACTATAAACGTTTGAGTTTGTCAGTAACATATGCCGATGATGGTTAATGGCGATGCCAATGACGCTGAGTTCTACACTTATATTGAGGGTTATATATATATGTACTCAACAGGGTTATCTATATTTATATTTATTTATATATGCGGAGTAATTAATATAGAGTATTAATACTGATATATTTATTATATATACTATTGGGTAGTTGATTACAGGTCATTCATTCTCTCATTCATTCATTGTCCTTATATTGTTAGTATACAATACATGTATAGGTGTACTGTACTTTTGCCTCATTCAGTGTGCATGTGAATCGCAATAGTGTTGAGTACTTCTCAAGCGTGTTTTATTCAAAAGAACACAGTATATCTATGCATCTATCTAAATGTCTACTTAGGAAAGCACTACACTGATATGTAATGTGTGGATTAAAATTTGAATTTTTCTCTCCATTAAGTGATTGCAATATTAATTAGAAGAAAGTGGGAACATAAGGGTGTGTGTGTGTGCGTGCGTGCACGTAAGTCTGTTTGTGAAGAGTATTCAGAATGTTATACTACACTGTAAATTATAATAGTAATATGTTATTGTTAACGGTTATTATTATCATCAGTAATAGAATATACATTATATAAAAATTCTCACGTACGTATGAGCACATTTTTTCTAATGTTTGAATGTATTCTGAAAAGGTGTAAATATAAATATTACTTGAAATGTGGATTACAGTAGTTGTGGCAAAAGCAGGAGCAATAATACGAGTCATCAACACATTATACGGCACGTATTAAATCGCGTATATACACACACACAGTTGAACAAAATTAAGAAAAAAATGATTTTTACAATGAACTGATGGTTGACAATACTAACTACTAGACACTTTGTAGGACAGACATTCATTCACATGCATGTGCGTGTGTGTGTGAATACAATGCATGTCTGTCTTCTAGAATTGTGTCTGTGTCTGTGAGTGTGTGTGCATGTTCGATCTCATAAGGTATTGTCATATTTCCTTATTTGTGTAATGTTTGTCAGAACAAACACGCTATTGTCAGGCAAACAGACAGGCCATAATTAGTAAAATAAAATATATATCAACCAATTAAAAAGGAAGCACCGTATTAAATTCACAAAATAAATGAACATTAAGCATATGGAAATGTGTCACAATTGTGTATTGATTGCATGTAGGATTTAATCATGAGCTGACATCATTTAGAGAACCACTGGAAAACCTGGGAGTACTGGACAGCCAACTGTTTCGTCAGTCTAGTTTGGGACTCTTCATCAGTACTCAGCCACCGGGGTTCGAACCCAGGACCTTCTGGTTACAAGGCTAGTGAGCTCGTAGACCATTGGGCCACTGGGACCCAATACAATGGACCTTGGATTCTAACTTCTTCCAATTCACGCACGACATAGCGCGATCACTTCGCAATGTCTTCTTCGATGAGTTACTGCCTCATCTTCGACCTGCTGTAACCTACTGGTCACGGCTTCCCACTAGAACCCCAGGTTAACTGCCTGAATAGGGCGAGTCACTATTGAGCATCAGATTAATTCTCAAGTATTGGTTTTGTAGGGATTTTGTTTGATTGCACGGAGGATCTAATCATCGAAGAAGACATTGCGAAGTGATCGCGCTATGTCGTGAATTAGCAGAAGTTAGAATTCAAGAACGATTAGATAGGGTCCCAATGGCTCAATGGTCTACGAGCTCACTAGCCTTGTAACCAGAAGGGTCCTGGGTTCAAACCCCGGTGGGTGGGTACTGTTGAAGTGTCTTAAACTAGGACGAAACAGCTGTCCAGTACTCCCTGGTGGGTTTTCCAGTGGCTCTCTAACTAATGTCAGTTCATGATGGAATCCTCCATACAATCAAACAAAATCCCTACAAAACCAATACTTGAAAATTGCGTATTGGACAGCCGTTCTGTCCATGGTTGAAACTGAATCTTCAGCAGTACGTACCCATCATGTTACAAGTTGAGCTCATATATCATCATCAGCTGGTGTTTGTCCCCACACTCAAACTCTGTCTCTGCTTTCATATCAGCTCCTTGTACGGACGCCTTGATATTGTTTGACGAATAATATGCTTTTCCTTTGGATAATATTGACTAGTAATCAAATCTAGGATGTGCATTTCGTCCTGTTTGACACTCACCAGCTGAATGTACCTGATTCTGTAGTGAATGATCCCACTGCTAGTCATCATCAAACAAAATAACACTTTAGATAATATCCTATTCATAAAAAGTATGCTTAAAGAAGCGCAAAATATGAAGTAGGGTACACGTCTTGAAAATATTGCGAGAAGAACCGCCAGCTTCTCACAGGACTGTTGGTATTCATCTAAATAACAATCATTTAGGGTGAGGAGGTAGAGTCAAGCTTAGATTAAGATTATATTGGGTACACGCTGGGGTTAGGTTTATGACAGAAGATGATTAGTGTTAGCCTTAGATTAATTTAGGGAAAGGATTTATGATTATTTTGCAAAGCAGAATTGTATGTTATGGGCTAGATGGTGGAATCGTGTTAGTCCCGTGGCATGATAAGATGCCTGTTATGCTGCTTGTACTCTAATACGTTGTAATTTGTCATACCCACAGGGGGATGATCACAGGTGGATTACCTATGGAGAGCAAGTTAACAGCCTTATCTATGCTGATAGCTAGCGACTGAATATATTGCACATATTAATATATGTGTAAACCTTGATCACTGTGGTAGTAAGCAATTTCATAGTAGTTTGTTTATTAGATATATCAAACAGTGAAACAGTATTATATACTGAATGAGGTTTCGAACAAAATTTATTGTGGTTCATAATCATATCAGTTGTAATCACACGACTTTGAAACTTGAGTTTTATAGTTTTCTTAGTCTTCTTCTATTTGTCGTATGGGTAGTAGAATTTTCCAGATATCTGGGTGGACAGACGTTGAATCATTTCTATTACACGTATTCTCTTCAGTTGATTCGATAAACAAAGCTTCCATTATCAATCTTCCCCACTTGCCAACCTGTTACATTAGATTATTTTGTATGGTTGTGTGTAATTGCATGTATTGAGTGGTATAGCTGAACTATTCTCTAGATTTCTTATCTTATTCGGATCAGCTAATCTAGATTTTGCTAGGTTTTCATGATCGGCTAGTCTGACTGCCCCTGTTCTACTAGTTTGACCTATGCAATACTGTTTCACTGTGTGATATATCTAATAAACAAACTAATATAGAATTACTGTTGAAGTGATTTTTAGTTTAGATTCCAACCACAAGCAGTCGCCTTTTTGTCGTCTTAGGAGTGCTTTGTGACTATTCGTGTTTCAAGGAAGTTTAAGTCAACTATGCATAAGGACGCGGAGATTGGTTTCCTGAGTCCAGACTACACCTAGACCATTTTGGTTCGTAATTGGCTCATACTTCACAAACAGCAACCAGTGCGGAACAAATCCAGTTATACGTTGGATCTAATACCAAATAGTCACCATCTGGAGTTGAGTTAAACCATTATACCATGGTTTAACTTATTTGAATCGCGGTTAACTATATTAAAACTTTTATTTCTTCGTGTACAATTCCCCCGCCAGCATGTCTCTCTCCAATAGTACTGATTTCTAGATATTAAATTAAATTTCTATTAGTCTTTTATGTCATACTATTGATATTTTGTCTTGACGAACTACAAATTATTGGTTGATAATTTGGTTTGATTAGTGGAAGTGGATAAAATTTGTCTGATTTACTAAGCGATCGTCACAAAGATTCAAGCCGAAGTTTTGTGTTTTTGGCACTCACAATGCCAATGATATCTTCTACGAGACTGTGACCTACGCTTTACTGTTCTGTAGTCAAGAACACTAGCTAACAACTATTCCAGAGATCACTGATATCGTGAGTGACCAATAAGTTACCAAATTCATGAGGTTATTCCTTAGTGCCGATTGAATTTCATCATTGTAAAAGCCTCTGACTTTGTAAATATGTCTTGCCAGAGGGCTCCAGTATATGCAAAACGTAGGTCCAGAACTTCCCTACCAATACCTTCAGCCATCTAATACCAGCTCAAAATACACACCTGAGCCGAGCTGCCTAGCGTGATGACTTTAGTACAACTTTTAGTGACCAAATTCACTCACTACCTTATACTACATGAAATACACACTTGACACTGGTTACATTTAGTGATCAACCATTGTATACTCTATATATTCTAATGTATTTATTCTCGTGATTTTCCCCCTGATTCATTCGGCTGCATAAGATGCTTTTTCTTTCAGTTTCATTGAGAATAATGAATGTAGGCTCTGTCAGCTGGTGCTTTCGCCCTCTTTACAACCCAAGTAGAAATGTGTGAGCCAATTCAGCTGGTGAAGCAGTGACCTATTAGTCCATAAGACTGTCGGTTAGAATCCTTTAATAGCCCAGCGAGAGATTAACAGAAACAACTAATAAGAAACTATTATGTGGCGCGTGCTATCAAGATGCAGATCAATGGGAAGCAGCCAAAAAGTGAGAGCAACATTTTAAGTTAATAGCTGCAAGGGTAAAAGAGTTTATTCCTCATATTTGGAACTAGTTTCAGTTGTGGTCTGGAAATAATCTTATTGGGCAACTTTGCATTCCTTTATTTAACCTTGGGTCAATCACCTACCAATCAGAACAATTTATTGTTCACTGACCTAGCTGACTTTTAAAGTGGTTAAAATGTATTAGCGCGAAGCGTTTTCCTCGATAAAAATGTCCATTACACAGTCTCATAGTTTCGGCAGTTACAATTGTATAACAGGTTATTAAAATAGTATATATATATATATATATATATATATATATATATATATATATTATTTCTTGAGAAAATCCTTGCTCTAAACCACCTCCAAAGTGTTCTACTTATCTCTAATACTTCAATAGTAACAACTGAAGAGAGTCGTTAGGATCATAATTAATTCCTCCCATTTTCAAGTATTGGTTTTTTGTAGGGATTGTTTGTTTGATTGGTTGGAAGATTTCATCATAAGCTGACATCATTTTAAGAACCATTGGAAAATCTGGAAGTACTGGATAGCTATTTCGTCAGTTTAGTTTGCGGCTCCTCATCAGCACGTACCCACCGGGGTTCGAACCCAGGATGTTCTTGTTACAATCTAGAAATTCATGGGCCATTAGATCGGGTCCCAGTGGCTTAATGATCTACGAGCTCGCCTTGTAACTGGTAGGTCCTAGGTTCGACCCTCTTATGTTGAGTGTGTACTGCTGAAGAGTCCCATACTAGGAAGACACAGCTGTTCAGTACTCCATGGTGGTTTTTAAATCCTTGTCTGACCGATATCAGCTCTTGATGAAACCCTCCAACTTATTCCTACTTCTCTATTTTCAGCTTCTTGGATGATCCTGTTTCTTATTTTATATTTCGGTATCTCTGTAAATATCGATTCATTCTAATTATATTCATATTACATTTGATTACACTACATTCTTCGAATATCTTATCATGTGACTTGACCTATAATTTAAACATAAGGTTCGATTAAAATTTGACTACTAAGATAACATTTGAATATTTTATTATGACAACAATGTTTCAGTATCTTGTAAATATCTATCAACACTAAGATTTTATGAATTAGTACACAATGACAAATACTAGCGACATATTAATAAATAATCATAGTTGAAGTTATCAAAAGGGACGATTATGTCATTTGTGGAGAATACCAAAAGAGAAAGGGGACTTTGCATTGAAGTAATCGATGAAGATAATGTTGTCTAATTAGAACCAGTGAAAGCTTCGCATTTTAGCCAGTCAGTCTCAAGGAACACAAATAAACCGAAGGGACAAAGTTAAACAATAACGATCCATGGA